TGGGTTGCCCCGAGGCCTGGGACTGAGATGACAGCTCCTGGGGGTCGTTCCTGGGACCTGAGCCTTCCTTCTCCTTTGCTCTCCCTTGGCATTTGGAGACGCCTTTGTGCACACTCCAGTTTGCCTTATCTGACCTCTGCAGGGTTCTAAGGAAGGGATGAACCTTACTGGGCTCCAGGGGGCCAAGGGGAACGCTAGATGTGAACATGAGAGCCCCAGACGAGCCTGAGCTGCTGTTTGGTCCTGCCACCCACCCTGCCTGGGGAGCCAGGGTCCAGGAACCAGACCTCTGCAGTTCCTTGCTTTTGCAAAGGAAGCAGTTTTTCACACAAGTAACTTTCAGACTAGTTGGTTCTAAGTAGACCGAAGATCCAGTCCTGAGCCCATTTCCTGACTGTATAATTGGGGTAAAGAGGTCCTTGCCCAGGAAAGATGAGGCATTCCTATCTAGGGAGGACACACAGTGTGCGATTTCCTTTCTCCGCATGGGGCATGGCTCCAGCCTGCAGAAGCCCTCCCTAACCTAGGCTGCCGCCATGGGTGTTTGCACCGTGCCATGGGAAGGGTACAAAGGAACACAACAGTGGGTCTTGCCCTGGTGGCTCAGGCAAGCTGGTGCTGGAATTTTCCCTCCCCCTAACCTTGGGAAAACCCAGGAATGAATCAATAGAAGTCTCGAATTAATAGAATGAGCAATGCAAAAGATTGCTGGCCTGGGAAATTTAAAGTGAAAACCCACGAGGCTACCAAGAGTAAAGGTAAAACTAAAAAATACAGTAATATAAAAGAAGATCAAATAAAATAAATACAAGCCGAGAAACAGTAAAAATGAGATGAAAGAGGCTGGTAAGCAAGGGTAGTGAGGAAGCCAAAGTGGAGACGGACAGTTCACTGAAAAGCCAAAGCAGCGCTGCGAAAGCAGATGAAATGAGCAATAAGCAAGGGTGTAAAAAAAAGCCTGGTGCGGTGGCTCACACCTGTATTCTCAGCACTTTGGGAGGCTGAGGAAGGAGGATCACTGGAGTCCAGGAGTTCAAGACAGCCTGGAAAACATGGTGAAACCCCATCTCTAAAAAAAAAAAAAAAAAAAAGAAAAGAAAAAAATTAGCTGGGCATAGTGACATGTGCCTGTGGTCTCAGCTACTCAGGCGGCTGAGGCAGGAGGATCGCTTGAGCCCAGGAGGTCTAGGCTACAGTGAGACAGGATCACATCAGTGCACTCCAACTTGGGTGACAGAGCAAGCCCCTGTTTCTAAGAAAAAATAAAAGGAAAAACCCAGTGGGTTAACAGAGGAAGGCAGCAGTGGGATTTTCTGAGCTCGGATCTTGGCAGCAGGTGGGTTACCTCGAGCCTGTGGTAAGAGATGAGGCTGGCAGCAAGACTCCTTCCCTCATGCCTGCAGCCCCTTTCCTGGGGGCTTGACCTCAAGACATGGGTTGGCCTCCACCCTGTGTACACAGGACAGCTGGGTTGCATGCCAAAGCCTGCAGAGAATTCCCCAGGCTGGGACTTGATCTTTCTTTGCCAGCAGGGAATGGGCTGAATGGTCTTCTACATCCCTGGTGGGCTCAGTGCTGAGGAGGGAATGAGGAAGATAGAGTTTTGGGGCCCTCCCTGGAGAGGCATGGTTCAGGAGGGGTACTTCTGTAGGGCTTGGGCACTGGTGGTTTGGCATCAGGCAGGCAGCTCCTCAGGGCTGTGCTAGGGAGGGAGGTCACTTGAAGGTAATGGAGAAAGGAACGGTCTGCATTTCTGGAATGACAAAAGTTTTAAGTCACAATGATTGTGGCTTCCAAGTAGACCACTGAGGCCTCCCTATGCCTTGACATTTCACCTACAGCTTCTGTGGCCAACTACTAGCTTCCAGTGGTGTTTTAGTTGAGATTCCTGATGAGTGCAGTTTTATCTTTTTGTACCCTCCTTCAATTTCCTTGTGTGTGAAATGGGACAACCATCTCCTCGTTAAGATGTCAGGTGGTAAGCACAGTGCCTGCATGTGGCAAGCGCTAAAGAAAAGTAATTAGAATCAGTAAAGCTGAAGAACTCTTTAGAAAAAGCAGTCACCTGTGCTGGCTGAGCTTGCGTAAAAGAAGGATTTATTGACTCAGTTTTAATTTCTGTGAATACACTTTTGGTAGTGAGAAGCAAACCAAGAGGACGGAGCCCTGGGCCTGCCAGCAACTCACTTGAAGCCTTTCTCTGGACCTCAGTTTTTCCCTCTCTTAAGTGGGTGTGTGTCATCTGACCTAGAGATTGCTAATCTATCTTCTGCAGCTAGATTCTTGCAGTAGGGGTGAACTTGTTCATTAAGTAGAGTTGCTTCCCCTACTTTTGGAGAGGTAACATTTGCAGCCCCAGAGGCTATCAGGGATAAGAGTGTTGGGCCAGGGATAGCTGGGCCGGAAGCAATAAATTATTAATGGCTTAATGAGCCTGAGTAAGCCCCCAATAATTGCTGGAGTCCAGGAAATTCCCCTGGAACCTGGCAACTCCAACTTTAGGTGGCAGAGGATTAAACACATTTTGCCTCAAGGTGGGTCTGTACAGGTCCTCAATGGTCTCTGGCCTGCCTCCCAGCTCTGTGAGGAATAGGAGCTGAGCAGATGGCCCACAGTCGCCAGGTATAGGGTGTCCAGGGCATTCTAGCCTGGACAGGAAAACTGGCTTGGCTGGGTGGAGTGTCCCGGAGTGAGCAAATGGGAGGGAGCATCTGGGGATGGCAGACTACCACACACTCTGGAAGCTGGAGAAGGAGGTACCCTGGACAGAAGGTGAGGTTGCCCCAGGTCAACAGCTTCCAGATGAGACCCACCTTGAGTCATGATCCTCAGATGCCAAGCCACAGGAACCTCAACACCCACCTCATCATCCAAACTGGAGCATAATAGAAATCATCCCAAAACTATGTGTTGGTGGATTGTCTTCCTAATACTTGGAAGGAGGTCTTAATAGTTGTCCCACTGAAATCACGCTACCTATACCTAGCAAAACATACGTCAGGAAAACCTTCCAACTGGGTATATATCATGCCCACTGTACTAACACACTGGCAAGCCCCCAACAACAGGAGACTCCAGGGGTGTCCCTGACCCTGTGGCTCTTGACTTCAGGTCAAGATTACATCCACCATCCTGTCCATGTAGGAACCAAACTGCTGTGTAATAAAACATGATTTATTTCTCTTCTCCCTACAACTTTTCAGCCAGTGAATGGTAGAATCTTGCAGGAATGAGAACTGAAGGCATTAAGGGCTTTGAGGATGTGGGGTGGGTCAGGTTTTACCATTCAAGGACCCTAAGAAAGTTTTTTGGAAGTGTGTGTGTGTGTCTATGTGTGTGTGTGTGTGTGTGTGTGTGTGTGTGTGTGTATGTAAGACCACACTCAGCTACGCCCACGGGCAGGTGTGGCCGCTCCTCTCTTCTTGTCTGCTGGCCCCCTTAACCTGTAAGTCACCTTGCTGGTCCATGGGATTCCTTGATACTTCTGCAATCCAGCTTCTCTGCTCCACCAGGCTGTCTCTGCTCAGCTGAGTCCCCTCAGGGTTCTCTCACAGCGATCTGGGCCTCCACTGGCTCCCTCTGCACAGCCTCCTTTCCAATCTTTCTTTCTAAAGTGAAATCTACCAATGATTACTCTTTGGCTGGCCACATGGGAGACATACACACACACACACACACACACACACACACACACACACACACACACAGACACCTTTTTGCCTTGGCTCACCACCGTCCAGTGCCTGGAAGCCTCACCTCCCTTGAGAACCTCCACTCAGTCTTTACAACTGTCACCTCTTCCAGGAAGCCATTCCTGCTCTTCTTCCCAGGCTGGGTCAGGGCCCAGGCATCTGAGCATACACAGCTCATTCGTCTCCCTCTCCACCCCAACATTTAAAAAATGACCTGGTTAGGTGTCTGCCTCTCCCATTGCGCTGGGAGTTCTAGGCAAGGGCTGTGGTCGGAGCCTCTCCGCCTCCCTGGAGCTGGAGCGGCGCCTGGTGCGCGGCGGGAGTCCTGGGGCCCCGCGGACGACAGAGCCCGGGGATGTTCCCAGGCTTGCTGGAGGAGCAGCTCTCGAACGAGGCTCTGCCAGGTCCCAGACCCCAGGAAGCTCAGCTGTCCCCTCGAAATCTTGGGGGTGCCACATGAAGCCCAAGTCCCTCTCAGGCACGAGCCCACAACAGCTTAAAGCTCTCTTTGGTGGTGGCCGGCCGGAGGCAGCCCTGCTCCGCTGCGGCCGGGAGGAGCAGGCTCTTCGCCCGGGCTCGCGCATGAAAGCTCCGTGCAGGGTCGGAGTCTGAGCCCGCCGGCCGCTTGGAAGGCTCCTCACGTCCAGGCGCCGCGGTCACGGCTGCGCCGGTTTCCGGCCATGAATTGGGCTTCAGAGTCCGAGCCTCCTGCCCGACTCCGGGCTCAGCGCGCCGCCCGCGGGGCGGGGGATGGGCGCCCGCCGAGGTCCGCTTGGCAAGCCAGGGTTCGAGCCCGCGGCCCGGGCTCTGCTTCGAGATGCTGGCAGCGGCCGGCCCCCTCTCCCTCCCCAGGAGTCCCGGGGCTTGGCCCAGCGCCCCACCCCGGTCTCTTTTCTTGCTCCCAGGTCCCACTCCACGAGGAACGGTCTGTTCCGGCCGGGGGCATGACCCGAGAAGCGCGGCTGCTGAGGTCGCCAGGGCACTTTGGGAGCCCCTCGAGGGCAGTCAGCGGCCGGCCCTCCGTTCTCCCGCCCCTGGGTAACCGGTGAAGGAGGCCCGGACCACCACGGCTCGGCGCGCAGCAGCCCAGGCGGGTCCCCGCCGCTGTGCCGGCCTCCGAGAGTCCCCCGGGCCAGGAGCGTGGAGCACCCGGCGCCCCCTCCGAGCCGCGAGCAGGCGAGCGCCGCGCGACAGGGCTGAGGCTCCGCAGTCACGTGGTGGAGAGGAGGGCGGAGGGGAGGGAGGCGGGCAGGGAGGGGAGGGGGAGCGGAGCTGAGGGGGAGGGGGAGGGGAGGGGGCGTCCTCCGCAGTTCGCTCCTCGCCGGGGCTCAGACACACAGCCAGCCCAGAGCCGCCACGCCGGCCGGGCCGCCGCCGCCACCGCCTCAGCCTCCCCCAAAGCCGCTCTAGCCGCGGGAAGCGCCGCTGCCACCGCCGCGGGCCGCCCCCGCCGCGCCGGCCTGGGCTCGAGCTGCCAACGCCGCCGCAGCCGCCACCGAAGCCGGAGCGGGAGCCCGACCGCGCTGGGCTGGGCTGGGCTGGGCTGGGCTGGGGAGGGCGCCGGGCGCAGGGGCGGGCGCGCGGGGGAAGACGCACGGGCGGGCTCGGCTCTGCCGGGGAGCGGCCCGGGACTGCACCGGGACCAGCGCCTCCCCGCTCCGCGCTGCCCTCGGCCTCGCCCCGGGCCCGGGCGGATGAGCCGCGCGCCCGGGGGACATGGAAGCGCTGACGCTGTGGCTTCTCCCCTGGATATGCCAGTGCGTGTCGGTGCGGGCCGACTCCATCATCCACATCGGTGAGCGCGGCGGGCGGCCGGGCCGAGGCTGGGTGGGGGCCCCAACAGGGCAGGGGGTGCGTGGTGTCCAAACTTGGCTGTTCCCAGGGCCGAGGGGCTCGGCGGGCGGTGCTCCTCCTAAGGGCCGCGCCGCGCCGCCCCGCGGAGGAGCTGTGCAGGGGCCGCGCCGCGCTCCCGCGGGCTGCTTGCTGCTCCCCGGGGCTCCGGTCTCCGCGCGGGGCCCCGCGGCCTCTGCCGACACTTAGGGCCGAGGCTTCGGGGAACACTGGGATGGACACACGTCGAGACCTGCGCCCTTAGCGGGGCCGTCGACGGGTCGGGAGGGCCCTTCCACGCAGCTCAGAGCAGCGGGGGGCAGGGGGAGGCACGGCGGGGGTCTAGCTAAGTTGGCAGGGCAAGATCAAAGAGGCCGGACCGGAACCGTGTGTGAATGTGTGTGGGTGCGTGTTGTCAGCGTGCGTCGCTGTGTGTGCCTGGAACGGTGTCGGTGTTACTGCGAGAGGGCGTTGGGGTGTGTGGGGCCATCTGAGCTTGTGTCGGTGCGTGCACGACTGTCTGTCAGCCTGTTAGAGTGGACACAGTGTCTGCCTGTTTCTCCGGTATGTGTCTGTGTAGTCCTCGGTGTATGTGTGGGTGTGTATCAGGTTGTGGCGACTGCAGCCCTATCCTGGACAGTATCAGAGTTTTGCGTGGTCCAAGTCTTGGGGGCCCAGACTGTCTGGGTGGTGGGAGCCGAGGGAAGAAGCGTGGGCAGTGGGGGCGGGGGAAGAGGGGTTGGGGGTTGGGGGACACTGAGCGGGAAAAGATGGATAGAGAGAGAGAACCGGGAGAGAAGATGCGAGTGCAGAGGAGGGGGCGCGCCGAGGGGGGAGTGGGCACAGTGAGGGGAAGTGGGTGGGAGTTGGGAGCAACACGGGAGGAATCTCGGGAAGTTGGGCTGAGTTCGGGGGTTGACAGTGGTCTTTGGGGGAGCCCCTCCGCAGTCGTCTTTCCGGAAGTTGGGAAAGACCAGCGAGCGCAGGGAAACTGGGGGTTGGGAGGTGTCGAAGGCGAGGATGAGGATGACGGGACAGGCAGGGAGGAGGGTAGAGTGGGGTGGTAAGGACGAGGCCTGGGCTCCGACAGCTACGATTCCCCCCCGCAGGGGCCCCTGACCAAACCTGCTTCCAGCCCTGGAGGGGTGCGGGTCTCGCTCAGCATTGCGGCTCCGGGTGTAGGGAGGAATAGGGGCCTCCCTCCTCCTCCCCAGCCCCCAGCTCGAGGGATCCACTGGGCCTAGCTCTGAGACCTCGGGGACCCTCCGGGCCTGGTGAGGTGGGGTGTGGGTGACTGACTCCACAGCTGCCCAGGTTGCAGGACTAGGCTCAGGCGGATCTCCTCTCGAAGCACAGGGTCAGGGAAAGCTGTGCTAGGCGCTCAAGACGCCAGTGGGAGGGCGCCCTAGGAGCTGTCCGCGGTTCTAGAAAGCCCTTCAAGAGCAGCTCCTTCTGGGACCCCCAGCCCTGCTAGATCTGAATGTGGAGGGGCCTAGGACACAGTCCCTTTTCCCCACTCCCTTTGACAGACGTACAGAAAATGGAAGCGGGAAGGGATGGAGAATAGGAGGCTGAGCTCAGGGCACAAGGCCGGGCAGCGTCACAGCCATCCAAGCTGCAGGTCATCCGAGGCCCCTGCCTAAAGAAGCCCCCTCTGTTCAGGAAAGCCAACTGTGGAATTGTTTCGCTTAGCTCCACTCAGCAGGGGACGTGCATGGCAAAAAGGAGTTATCATTCTGTCCTGGGATTGGGGTGGGGGACACCGCTCTCCCGGGAAACTTCCTGGCTCCTGGGATGGGATTTATGGAACCATGTCAAGGCATTTGGGTGCTGCCTGGGGCCACCCCAACTTGGCTTAGTCCCTTGTGTGGGGCATGGCTAGGACATGTGGTGCCTTGGTTGTGAGACAAGTGTGTGACCTGGTGGCAGCATGTGGGATGTGCATGTGTAACTCATGTCAACTGTGTGCACGTGTGCGCTGAGGGCTGGTGGGGGGAGGGGAGCATATTTCTGTGCGAGTTGAGCTTGGAGAGCCTTAAACTACCCCACCAAGCTGAAATTCCAGCGCAGACTTCCCACCACCCAGCAATCGACGGTCTGCGAGTGCCTTGATCCTCGGACCAAGGGAAGTGCCGGAGAGGGTTTAATGTCCAGATCCGGTCTTGATCCCTCCTCTCCTCCAGGTGCCATCTTCGAGGAGAACGCAGCCAAGGACGACAGGGTGTTCCAGTTGGCGGTATCCGACCTGAGCCTCAACGATGACATCCTGCAGAGCGAGAAGATCACCTACTCCATCAAGGTCATCGAGGCCAACAACCCGTTCCAGGCTGTACAGGAAGGTGAGTGGCCGCTGTGCCCAGGGCCCACTGGGCCACGGCCTGAGAGTCGTCGCATCGTTGGGCACCGGCGGGTTTGCGACGAGCTGCCTGGGGGGGCCCCTTCTGCTCCTGGGCAGCCGCAGTGCCACGCGCTGTCGCGCGCCTTACCCGGGGCACCATGGCAGCGGCGCCGGCATTGCTCTGCACCGAGAGCCTGCGAGTGCGGCGAGCTGGGCTTCTTACCGGTTGCGCGTCTTCTTTCCGGCTGTGTGGGCGCGGGTGTGCACCCAGCACTGGCCGCGCAGGCTCTGGTACGTCTTCATTTCTTGGTGTTTGGGGGTGGGCGTGTCTGCGTGCCTGGTGCCTGTGTCGGGCGCATCTCCCTTGATCTCCTGATCTCGGTGGGCCAGTGTCTTCCTCGCCTCGAGGCGAGGATCGCCTGGCAGCTGGAGCCCGCCCTGTTTCCTTCTCCCGGACATAACCTGGTAGGCGCGGCGTTTCACGCCCCACGGCGCTCAGCGCTTCAGCACGGTGCTTCTCTGCCGCGCTCCTCCGCTCCTCCGCCAGGTTTGGAGGAGCCAGTGTTTCTCTTTTGCTGTCCGCTCCGCGGGCGGAGGCGCTGCCGCCTGGGCCGGAGGTGGGCGCTGTTCGCCCAGGAAAGGATTGGAGCGGGCCGGTTCTGCTGCGGGGAAATCCTAGCCTGCGCTCGGGCCGCCATGGTCCACAGCCGCTGCCTCCAGTCAGGCCCCGCGGCAGGAGCCACAGGTAGGAGCGAGGGCAGTCACGACAGCAAGCCCCTCTGCTTTCCCTCCTCTCTCCTGGTCCCTCCCTTTCAACCTGACTTTGAACTCCTTCTCCTAGCTTTCAGCTTCCCGGTTAAGGCCTAAGGCTCTGCCTCTGTCACTTACCCGGCTTAGGTCCCTTCTCCCCTCTGCCTTGCTCCCTACAACCATGGGGACTCTGAGGCCAGCGCCCCTCAGTGTTGAGGATACAAGGGCACAGTCAGTGGCGCAGGATGCAGGGATTCCTTGCTGGAGGAACTGGTAGGGCATTGTACAGAGGGTAGTGGGTGCAGTGGAAGGTGGGCTGGCAAAGAGCTCCTGGGTGCTGCTTTATCCTCAAGCTCGCGGGACCGAAGTCCTGCAGCTATGGTACACATGGGCTGCTGGTCTCCCGGGTGCCTGCAAGGACAGGATGCCTCGTTGATGGCTCTGGTTTGGGTGGTGGTGGTGGTGGCAGGGATCAGAGCTGGTGCTGGGGAGGTCCTTGTGCTGGGATGAGGAATTCTGGGGTTCTCCTATTCTTGGGTGTAGCAGAGGAAGGAAAGGGGCCAGCCCTGGGTTGGGGGGAAGGGACCACCTGGTTCTGGGGCCTGAAGGTCCAAGGATTTCTTGAGATGGTTTTATAAACTGGGAGTCCCAGGTGTTTTCTTTTTTGTGGGAGGCGGTGGGGGAAGTGAGGCTAACATTGCCTATTATGGGAGCTGCTGCTTCCAGCTTTGACAGACGTCCATTGTCAGATGTGTGTTGAGGTACAGGGAAGAGGAATTCCTGCCCTTCTTTGGTGTCTGGTCATGTTCCACCAATAGTCTCTGTCTCCAGATGAACCTGCCTCTGGATTTCTTTTCTGTATGCCCTGATCGCAGCTCCTTACAGGTGCTTGGGGTGGGCTCCAGCCAGGGGAGGGCAGGGTCTTCTTAGTAGAAGGAATCCTAACTGGAGTGGGGATCTGGGGTGACAAGCTACAATTTTCACAGTGCCTCTTGTTCCCTTGACACTGGCTCCACACACCCCATCTCTGTGGACATTCATGCTTTGTGCTTGGGAGCTGAAGCCACAGTTTGGAAGCACATATTTCCTAGACCCAGGAGCTCACAGTGTGGTGGGGACCCTGTTGACTCCTCCTCTGCAGTGTTGAGTATCTCAAGCTCATTCACTTTGCCCCTGAATGATGCCCATCGGCTTCCATCAGCAGTTTCCCAGGGACTAAACATGATGCGCTTGCACAAGGTTGCCACCTCATGCAGGTGACACACAAGGGTGAACTGGGCAGCTGGCCCCTGTGGCACCAGGAGTCCAGGGTCTGAAAAGGTCATCTCCATTAAAAGGAGCAGCTGTCATACAGTTTAGCTTTAGCAGATTTTGCCATTGGGAGTGAAAATCTCAGTGTTGTAGATGTGCTGATTTATTTTATTTTATTTTATTTTTGTGTTATCTTGAGACAGAGTCTCGCTCTGTCGCCAGGCGCCAGGTTGGAGTACAGTGGCGTGATCTCGGTTCACTGCAACCTCCGCCTCCCTGGTCCAAGCAATTCTCCTGCCTCAGCCACCCAGGTAGCTGGTATTTTTTTTTTTTAAAAGGAGCCCCAAATCTGGACCTTAATGTAAAATTTGATTTAAAGCTGTAGTCAACTAATAAAACAATGTAAACAACAGAGTACATGCCAAGTAAAACATAGCTATGGGTGATTCAACCTGCGAGCCCCCCAAAGCAACTTTGTCCTGAAGACAAAGGTTCTGTCCAGAGACCTTTTCTGGGTCTCAGTTTCTCTGTTTGCATAGTGGGAAAAATATCTCAGGCTCCAAGGATGGCAGGCTGACACAGTCTCTGCGGGGCGTGAGAGTGAGTGTTTCTGCACGTCTGGGACTAGGGCGTTAGAGTCTGGTGGTTGACAGTTGTCTAGGGAGAAAGACACACTGGCCAGGTATTGTTGCTGGGTTGCCTGCTGCCCAGAAAGTTTGTGCTGGTGAAAGCTGGCGAGCTCTTTCACTTTGTGAGTCTCCTGGACGGACATCCACTGTTATCCTGTGACCTTGCATAGGGCTTGGATGCCTACAAGGGATGGGAGGAGCCATCCGTGGAGGGCCTCTGAGAGGGGCAGAGCAGTGCTCAGCAGCCTCCTTCTCCCTTGCCTGGGGCTCTGCTGCAGGTGCTCAGCTCTCTGGGTGTCCTTCCTTGGCTGTATTCTGTGGGGTGCTTTTCCATCACGGGTCTTGATCCCTGCTTGGTGAATACCTTATCTCTCACTATTGGTCCTGGACATTCATTGCAGCAGGACATGGGTTGTTGATACAGGTTGAGTAGGAAAGAAAAAGATTTTTAGTGGGAGAGTGGCCAGGGATGGGGACTAAAGGCAGTTGGGGCTCCATTTCCATCACTGATCAGATAAGCCCACAGTGACCTCTCAGTGGAGTGGCACTGCCCCTATTTTGGTCTGCGAGGCAGTCCCATGCAGCGATAAGAACTTGGTAGAGCCTAAAGAGTTTCAGTTCCCATCTGCTTGTCTTCACTCGCCATGTGACCCTGGAGCCCTACTCTGAGCTTCTGTTTCCAGATCTGTTCAAAGGGAATAATCATAGGATTTGCCTCATGGGATTGTGAGGATTAAATGAGATGAGACATGTGTAAATCGTCTGCATAAGGCCTGCGGTGGGTGTTCGGTAAACAGTAATTCACTTTCCATTCCTTGACCCAACTGTGAATCCATCTCAGCTTCTCTTGAGGCTGTTGATATTTTCAGCTGCATCATTTTTTAAGCTAGTGAATTCCTTGAGAGAGGACCCAAACTGACCTTTTCATTTTTAGCTCTTATTTTTTTTTTCTGATTGTAAAAGAAATGCATTGCTGCAATGAGCATGTATTAATATAAAAATGTAAAAAAGAAAAAGGGCAATGTATGCTTATTACATAAAATGCGGAAGGTACAGGAAAGTATCAAGAGGCAGAAAAAAATCACTCTGAATTGCACTACTGAGATTTCCTTCTAGTCTTTCCCCCCCCCACTGTATTTTATAAATTTTGAGAGCTTCCATTCTGTTCAGTTTTATATCCTGTTTTTTTTTCATTTAATATAATTGTTCTTTTTTGAAATCACTATGAACTATTTGTAAACATTACTTTTAGTAACTGCATACATTTCTCACTGTTCAAAACTTTTTTTAAAAAGGGAACCATTTATGCTGAGATATGCAGAATTAAATATTCCTGAAGAAAACAAGAAACTCGGCCTGGATATGTTGGTCCTAAGATTTATACCTACAATTTCTTCAGGCTGACTTTTAACAAGTTCCTTACAAGCACTGCCTTTTAGGATGTTTGGTCAATTTATGGAAAAGAATGGAACACACAATAAAATATCTATTTCATAAGGATTGAAGGTTAGCAGATAATACAGAAAGGACATTAACATCTCTAAAATGTTACTTCTTAGATTTAGCTGGCAAAGTCCATATTAACAAATAGTGTGAAAATTTGTCTTCTAGATGCTAAAAGAGATCCTAATTTGTAAATAAAAAAAGTTCAGATTGTTGTAAAGTGCCTGCTCAAGTAGGAGGTTATATAAATGCATATAATTTATAGAAAAGAACCGGCTAAGCACAAGTCTTCTCATTTCCCAGCATTACTTTTCACTGTGAGTAAAAGATGTGAGTTATTGGATATGCTGTAGAGATACCTGTCACAGCATAGAAGGATAACATTTTAGGCAAGAGGCAGAAAAGGAATGCATGCAAGTCAGGCAGTATTCCTTTTAATTATCATCAGCACAAAAGGGTTCTAGGAAGACATAAAAATTACCAAGAATAGCTTGTGGTTCACATAATGAAACAATGAAACAAAATAAAAGTGAAACACAGAGAGCTTGTTGGTGCCCATCTGGAGACCTTGCTCGGTTTATATCTGTTACCTCCTAGCTGGTCAGCCTGCCCCTTACTAGCCACGCTGACATCTAGACATTCTGCTAGAGGCTCTCCCTCCCTAGCTCTGATAGCTTCTGGCATCTTCCTTGGCTTCCATTCAGAATTATAGAGAATTGTAGGTCCCATCAAGGCCACGCCCTTGCAGTCCTGCTGGCAGGCTCACCCAGACACCGTAGGAGGCTCTCTTAGTGTGAGGCCTGTGTCTTCCTGAAGATGCCTGTAGGCCCCTTATTCTCATCCTCTCTGCTGTGTTAGTTTTCTCGTAGTGCTGAAACAAATTTTACCCCAAATTTAGTTGGTTAGATAACACACATTTATTCTCTTA